TCCTCGTTGATGACCACACTCGTTACACCACCGTGTTTCCCCTGGAGCGGAAGGCCGACGTGCCAGACGTTCTTATCCCGTGGCTTGTCTCTACGCGTGTGCACCGAGGTCTCCCTGTGTTGCGTCTTCACTCTGACCGTGGTGACGAGTTCGCATCTGGCCGCCTCGGTCGCTTCTGTCGTGCGGAGGGTATCACCCAGTCGTACACCCTGCCGGACTCCCCACAGAAGAATGGAGTCGCTGAGCGCCGCATCGGTTTGGACATGGAGGTCGCTCGTACCTCCATGATCCATGTCGGTGCACCCCATTTTCTGTGGCCGTTCGCAGTTCGCTACGCCTCTGACCAGCTTAACCTGTGGCCGCACTCTCAGCAGCCGCAGGTTTCACCGACACTCCTCTGCACCGGGTCTCGTAGTGACGCGTCTGAGTTCCACGTCTGGGGCTGCCTTGCTCACGTTCGTGCCTCTAGCATGGACAAGCTCACAGCCCGCACAGTCCCCTGTGTCTTTCTAGGTTTTCCCCTTGACTCGTCTGACTAGCATTTCTACCACCCACAGTCTCACCGGTTCTTTCACTCTCGCGACGTCACCTTTGACAAGTCCGTCTCCTTCTAGCACCGCTTTCCCCACCGTGGTCCCTCGGTTACCCCCCCCCTGTTCCTGGTTCCTCCTCCTCCGGTCGCCCCTGCTCCTCCCCCTCCCCATCGTGCTCCGTCTGGTGTGTCTGACGTCACCCCCCTTCCTTCGGTTGTTCGTGTCGAGAATTCTGTTGACTCTAGTGGCCTTGCACCACAGTCCTTGCCACCTGCCCTCTCCCCGGTGTCTCCTGCTCCGTCGTCGCAGCCGCCCCAGCCGCAGCCGTCGTTGCCGCCGCCGCTGCAGCAGTTCGTGCCTTCTGGGAGTGCTAGCGTTGAGGAGGGTGCTAGTCCTGGGGTTCCTGTTGGGGCTTATCCCGGCGGTCCCGGGGGTGGTGCCGGTGCTGCGGGGGTTCCAGGTTCTAAGGGTGTTCCTTCTGGGGGTGCTGGAGTGGAGTGTTCTGGAGGTAGCCGTGGAGCAGCTGGCGGTCTCGGTGTCGGCGTCTTGCAGCCGCAGCAGCAGTAGACGCCGCCGGTGTCCGCCCTTCGCCTGCTCCGCATTCCCTCCCCTGACCGCGCCTGTGTGCCTCTCCTATCGTCTCCTCCTCTTCCTGTCTATGGCCCTGTGTTCCCTCCCCCAGACTCGTCTCCGGCTCGTCTTCCCCCCCGTTCCCCTCCTGTGTATCCTCCTCTGTCTCCTGACCCGACGCCTCCGTTTCACGTCTGGTCTCGCTGTCCTTCTCGTGCTCGTCCTGTCTCTCCTGTTCCGCGCTCTCACCCTATGTTGCTTCGTTCCCACACATCTTGTCCTTCCCTCCTATCGTTGCATCCACCGTCCTCTCTTGTTGTCGCGCCTCCCTCCCTGTTTGACTACCTTCGTGCCTCTCGTCCTCTTGTTTCTCGGGTCCTTGCCTCTCTCGTGACCGACTTGTCTGTTCTTGTTTCTCCTCTTGACGCTCTTGTCGCTGCTGTCGCTTACTTCGCCTCTACCTGCCGCCATGACTGCGCCACTGCTCTGGTCTCTGGTCCCGTCCTTCGGCCGTCGGGGGTGCTCCTGCCCTCGGCAGTGATGCTATGGAGGACCGGCAGTACGAGCTTGCTTTCCTGTCTGAGGCTGCTCCCCATCTCTGTTCCATGCTGCTAGTCCCTGAGGGTGACCCAGACGCTTTCGACATCCCGACCCCTCGCACCTACGCTGAGACCACCTCGGGACCCTGGGCCTCTCAGTAGATAGCTGCCATGGAGCAGGAGATGCCATCTTGGAGATCCACAGGCACCTACGTCGACACATTTCCCCCACCTGGGGGGAACATAGTCGATGGCCGGTGGCTCTTCAAGGTCAAGCGCCCCCCTGGAGAGCCGCTTGTGTTCAAGGCGCGCTACGTGGCCAGAGGCTTCTGTCAGCGTGAGGGGGTGGACTTCTTTAAGACCTTCGCACGGACCCCGAAGATGACAACTCTTCGGGCGCTCCTACACGTAGCAGTACAGCATGACTACGTGTTACACTCCCTCGACTTCTCCTCTGCTTTTCTTCAGGGCAACCTACACGAGCAGGTCTACCTGCGACGCCGTCAGGTCTTTACTGGTACCTTCCCTCCTGGGACCCAGTGGCTCCTGCTGCGCCCAGTCTACGGCTTGCGACAGGCGCCCCGTAAGTGGCACCACATTCTATGTGCTACCCTAGCTGACCCACAGTTCTTTCCGTCCTCTGTAGACCCCTCGCTCTTCTTTCGTGCTGGCCAGACTCCGTTCTACATCCTTGTTTACATAGATGACCTGGTCTTCGCTACTGCAGACATGGACGCACAGGCCTCTGTGAAGGCCGAGCTGCTGAAGAGACACACCTGCACTGACCTAGTATAGCTGCGCCGCCACCTTGGCATGCAGATCTCCAGGGACAGAGCAGCGCGCACCATCACTCTCTCGCAGTCACACTTGGTACGCTAGGTCGTTCAGAGGTTCGGTCTTCAGTTTTCCTTCGCACAACCCACACCTCTGCCAGTAGACCACAGGCTCTCAGCTCCAGTTCCTGAGGAGTCTGTAGAGCCTAGTGGTCCTTACGCAGAACTGATGGGTTGCCCATGTACTTGATGACTTGCACTCGTCCAGATCTTGCATACCCTCTCAGCATCCTGGCTCACTTTGTGGCCACTGGCAGACACCGACCACCGCAGTAGTCGGCTGCTAAGAGAGTTTTGCGTTATTTAGCAAGTACATCGGGCATGGGGTTAGTGCTAGGAGGACGCAGGCCAGTGGTCCTTACTGGGCATACAGACGCTTCTTGGGCAGACGACGCTAAGATCCTTAAGTCCTCGCAGGGCTACTGTTTTAGCATTAGTTCAGGTGTTGTTTCGTGGAGAGCTACTCGCTCCTCGTATGTTGCCCAGTCCGGCTGCGAGGCTGAGATCTACGCCGGTGCCATGGCGGCACAGGAGCTCCGCTGGCTGACCTTCTTGCTGACCGATTTAGGGGAGCGGCCTAGCTCTGCCCCAGTCCTGTACGCTAACAAAAGGGCCATGATCCTCCTGTGTCAGGAGCCTCGTCTGGAGGGCAGAGCGAAACATATCCAGCTGCGGTACTTCCTGTTGCGCGAGCTTCAGCAGCGCCGCCAGGCTCGCGTAGTACACTTGGCCTTTGGTGCTAATACATCTGATATCTTTACGAAGGCGCTTGCGCCTAAAGATCATCAGCGGCACTGTATACTGCTTGGTCTTGTTCCTGTAGCCTCTCATTTGTTAGGGCTTTGATTGTGTATAGACCTTTGATTGAATCATGACTGGACTTGTGGCCTCTCCTAGTGGCTGGACTTGTAGTGCCACCTTGAGCTGCTCGTCTCTCACCAGGCATTGCCCCTATCCAGTCTAGGATGTGTGTCAAACATATTTGAGTATGTTGGTGTAGACTATATAGGGTTGTGCCTTAGAGAGTACAACCCATTAGGCTATATTCCCTTGTACTCGCCCATTCTTGATTATTCTATCATTCTAACTGTTCCTTACACGTATATGAAGTTTACAATATGTGGTGGAATATCTTCACTCTAAATGGATACATTGTATGTCGCAAATATGATACCATAATTTTGTTACACTTTCTATCCCTATATTGATCAATTTACAAGCCACACAACCCACCCAACAATTCTCCTCGAGCCTTGTTTTTGTGACCTTAGCTTCCCGCCTCGCACAGGCGAACCAATCAGAAGGGGCGCTGCACCTTTTGTAGGAACGTGCGCAAGTGGCTAATGACCGTTCTTTGGTGCGGAAAAAGGACGGCATCGGCATCAGGCCTGTCGAGTCAAGGGCAAATGCGCTTAATGCCCTGAACATTTTGGGTAAGCCTTCCGTCAGGGCCTGACGTTTCGGGGTTGTATTCGGGACTAGCCAGTGATGGTTAGGGGTTTTGTTCGGCCCCTTCCCGGATTCGTTCAGGGCGGAGTTGAGGCCTTTTTCCTGATTTTCCGTATCGGGGTCTTGACCTTCCCTGACTTCGGCATACCTTCCTCGCCCAACCACACCACCCAACCTTCTCCTTCAGCTAGGGTGATTTGGCGAAGTCCTCCAAACCAGAGACATTCCTCCCACATCCCACCCGGACTCAGAAAATTCCTCGAGGTCCCTCACACCCAGAGACATTCCTCCCACACCCCTCGCACCCCAGAGAGTCCCCCCAGCCAGAAAATTCCGAAGTCCTCCAAACCAGAGACATTCTTCCCACACCCCAACCGAACAGAGGAAGATCGATGAAGTCCCCCACACCCGGAGACATTCCTCCCACCCCCCTCGCACCCCCAGAGAATTCGACAAGCCCCCACAGCCCTAGACAATACTCCAATGTCCCCTCCTCCCACACCCCCATTTCCCCTTCCCCAAAACCACGGATTTGTTTTTTTTTTGCTCTCCAAAGCGAGTCACTCACAAGTCTCTCCCACACACTCCCGCATCCCAGAAATGTGCACCTGAGAAATGTGCACTTCTATCAGATTTGATACAAATTCTCCTGCGAAAATAGGCTGGCCTCCCAACTCAGCACCTTGCGTAACCTGATGTGCGATTACGAAGTTTTTTTTCTCTTCGGCAAAGTACAGACTCCGGCGCAGGTTTGATTTGAAGTTCTGGTTTGGACCCCAGCACGTACGCTTCAGGGCTCAGTTCGGTCGCTTTCCCGAAATTTCAGGGCTGTTTTCGGGGGACCTCAGCCACCCAAGTATTGGTCCCAAACCAATTGACAGCCCTGCTCGGCATGGCCATGTCTTTTCGTCGAAGCCCCTTCAGTGGGCGGTTACAGTCCTCGTGTGAGGCTTCCACAGTGGCTGGCGCACCGATGTGGATGCTCAGGGCAGACTTGTGCCATAGATTCACCCTCGTGGGGGAGTCCATGAGACTGAACATCTGAAATTTGAGTGTCTCGGCTCCCCGGACCCTCCGAGAGTCTCGCTTCATGATAAACAGCTTGAGTAGAGGAAACGAATGACGATGACGCGAATAATGTCACTTAGCTCGGTCTTGGCTCGGAAGCAGCGGCGCTCTCACGACATCGACTCGGAGTCATTGCCGCTTTCGAGCGGCGAGAGTGCGGCGATTCGGGAACTCGCAGTGTTTCGAGGTAAAGCAGGTCAACTTGACAGCAGAACATTCGAGCATTTAGACATAGCACAAGCTTATGAGGAGTACTTGGTGGAAGTATAACTTTCGATCTTCGAATGCCCGTCGTAAATACAAGCTTACTAGGAGTACTGGTGGAACGACTGCCTGAAGCGACTTTCCTGCGAAATCATGCTAAACCCTTATTCTCGAAGTGGTATTTCCGTTATTCACCAGCGACTCGTTCGTGATGCTTTCCTGAAGCTGGCTTAGCAACTCCGCCACCACCGAGAAGTTACTAAGCTTTCTAAGTTCCACATCATGTGATATGATATGATATCATATTATCCTTCCGGCGGGCACGTCGTGTCACGCGGATAGTTGGACTTTAATATTGATCCTCTAGCCCTCGGAAGATCGGAGGCTCGGAGGCTCGGAGGCTCTCACTGGAATGCACGGAGCCGTCATGCAGCGCAATGTTTCCAGCGACTCGCGGTTAAGGTTCAGAGGAAACCTGGAAGACTCAGATGATTTTATCATCTCACCCCACCCCACATCAGGCCCTTTCCCGCCGTTCTTCCGCAAGCTAGGGCAGCGTACCATGGTGATGGTAACCATGGGGACCATGCATCTTATCATGCCGCCACGTTTATGTAACCCTGCCCCAATCCACAGGCCCCGTCTTCGGCGCGCTGCTCGCCCTATGGCTGCTCTCGGGTGTGGCGTTCGCGGCGTGGCTGTGCTACTCGCGGCACTCCTCGTACCAAACCGACCGCCGTCAGCACCTCGACATGTGGTGCTACGAGCGCGCCAAGCTGTTCGAGCAGCACGCGCTCACCACCGTCAGCCAGATCCGAGTGAGTCTGAGATTCCTGTGTTCCCATCTGATTGTGGCTCAGCGCTCACCACCGCCAGCCAGATCCGAGTAAGCTGCGCATCCCTTCTCTGCCTCTCCCCTTGTCTGGCAGGGCTGGCATCAGCGATGGGGAAGCCCAGGCGCCAAGCCGCCAGTCCAAGCTCCCTACTGACCCACCTCCCACGCCACACCCCCTGCAGACTCTGGCGGGGCTAGCGTCAGTGATGGGGAAGCCCAGGCGCCACGGCAACTGGGCGTGGGACAGGTGCCTGGCGGAGCAGCGGTGGGACGCGTACCTGAATGCGACGAGCTATGCGCGGCCGGGGAACACGGGCGCCACCGTGTGTGTCTTTGTCACCGACCAAGAGAGGTGAGCGGGCGAGGGTGGGTGGGGCCGTGGGCGAGCGGGTGAGTGAGTGGGTGGTTGGGTGAGTGGGTGGGTGGGTGGGTAGGTGGTCAGTTCTCACTTGCTCGTGAGTCGACTCAGAAGCACGTGCTTGACGGAGCATATAACGCCTCGCTACCCACTGGGTTAAAACGAGGTTACCCAGAGGCGTAGCGGAATGCGTTTACAATCTCCAGGGTAATTTCCGTCTGCAGACGTTACACTCGTCCCCCCCTGGTGCCAACGTCCTCGTTGGTTTCCAGGGAGTCGGCCCTCGCAAGGACCTGTTCGCTGAAGGGCAGCAGCGACTTCGCTGGTGGGCAAGGCCAGCGGCTAGGATCGTTCGCTGGCTTGGCGACTGGATACAACCGCAGCTGTACTTTAGCACATTCGAGTTCTCGCCACGACCTCAGCCGTGTGGGGAAAATATGACCAACCCTAAGCTCTGAAACCAGAATAACGCCTCGCTACCCACTGGGTCAAAACGAGGTTACCCAGAGGCGCAGCGGAATGCGTTTACAATCTCCAGGGTCATTTCCGTCCGCGGACGTTACAGAGCAGAGGTGGGGCATGTACCTGAATAGGACGGGGAACCCATGCGCCCACCATCTGTGGCCTAAGTTGGAAAATACGCGCATCGAGTATTGTACTCTAGCGTTTTAACGCTAGGATACATACCCTGTACGCTCCGTCAAGGGGGTGGTGGTACGCTCAAATACGTTGAGCCGGGCAGGGTGAAAAAAGCTTCGGGCAGCGGTCGGAAAAAAGGTATAGAGGGGGAAGGAGGGGGACTTTGGGGCAAGTGAGTATGTCGTGCAAACTGGATGTCAAGGGAAGGTATACCACTTACCTTTGGCGCAGGTGAGTCTGTTGTGCAATCTGGATGGGTTGGGGCTAAGTGGTGAAGTGATGTTGGGTACGGTTGGGAGGCAAAAAGTGGTTGGGAATGAGTTTGGATTTCCTACCTCAAACCTCAATTTTGATAGCCCGCTCGCAAATGTGAGCAAGATTGTAGTGCTGAGCCAATTCGTGAGATCTCGCAAAACATTTTCGGTTTTTTTTTCCCCGGGCTGCCCGGGCGTATTTTCGCGAATTTCAATCTGATACGCAGAGTATCGCATTTCGTAGTGTATATACGCTGTACGCAACCCTACACCTAGCGTTTTTCCAACTTAGTCTGTGGCTTCGTCACGGAGAGGTGTGCGGGTGGGCGGGCTGGTTGGGCGGGCAAGAAGGTGAGTGGTTGGATGGGTCAGTTTTCATGTGCTCACAAACTCTAGGTGTGAGCTTGCGAATCCTCTTACTAGCTCCTCCACAACCCTCCTCCAATTCCCCCACCCTCCCCCCCCCCTCTGCCCCCTCATACTCTTCCTCCTTCCCCCTCACCGAGTGCAGCGGCATCTGTGACCTCACTCACGCTGTTTGCTTCCAACTGTTTGTGCCCATGATGCTACATTCTTGAACCCCCCTGATGAATCCGGCATCTAATGGGTTCCTCAAACGCAGCACTCAGCGCACGAACCACACGCGTTTCTCCCTTCTAGCTCTGTCGCTGCTCACAACATCGTCTGCATGTCTGAACCGCAGCAACTTCCCTCTCCACGCTTTCCACAAAGTGAACCGCATCCCATCCCACTCTTCACCGCTCCGCCCCACAGGCCTGCATTTGAGCGCCAGTACGGCGGGCCCATCCTCGGGTTGAATCGGGAGCCGCAGCAGCGCCAGCCGCTGTACTGCCCGCGCGTGTTGGAGATCCACTACTACCGGGGCTCGGCGCTCATGATCGACTTAATGCAACGCTTGCCAGAGGAGCTGGCGTTTCTCAGGAGCACGGGCGAGCCCCTGTTCAGCTATGCCACGCCCATTGCAAACCTCTCCCTCAACCTCAATGGCTTCGGTAAGTCGCAAGCTTTGAGTCGAGGCGCCTCAAAGGGCACCTGCCTCACAGGGCACCTGCATCAAATCAAAAGGCGCCTGCCTCAAAGGGCACCTGCCTCAAAGGGCACCTGCCTCAAAGGGCACCTGCCTCAAGAGTAGGCCTTGGCACTGGGTGAAGCGAACAAGTGGCGGCGCCTCGTACGCGAGGGGGGGCGGTGTTCAACCGATCCGTCATGAAGACGGACACCTATACAAGCCAGGAGAATTCCTGGCCCGATGGGGGAGACATTTTGAAGCGCTCAACCGCGATACACACGGCACTAGCTTGGACCGGCAGTACTGGCTGAATAAGCTCAGTGATATAGCGCAGGAACCGGCCGTGGAGAGTCTCAATGGGGACCTCACTTGGCACGAACTCGCGGCTGCCGCGAAGGCTATGCAATGTGGAAAGGCACCTGGACAGGACGGCTTACCGGCCGAAGTGTACAAGGTTCTCTTCGCGGGAGAGGAGCAAATCCGCAGGGGCAAGCGCCTTAGAGCAGGACAAGTGTTCTTCCGGCTTCTGCAACGCATCTGGGCCTCAGGAGAAATCCCGAAGGCCTGGAGGGTGGCGTAGATTGTTCCGATTCCCAAGAAGGGCGATTTCTCCTATGTGGATAACTACAGGGGCATCTCTCTCATGGACGTGGGGCTTAAACTGCTTATGAAGGTACTGGTACTCCGTTTCACGGCGGTAGTCGAGAAACAGGGGTGGTTCCGGGAGGAGCAGTTCGGCTTCCGCAGACGAGATGAATGCACGGCCCTATACACAACCCTGTTCGAAGTTGGTCAACGGACGCGGGCGGCCACCCTGCACACGTACGTTGCGTTCTTGGATGTAAAGAAGGCCTACGACTCGGTACCGATCGAAGCCCTCCTAATGCGGCTTGAGCGCCGAGGAGTGACGGGGCGAGCTCTGCAGTTCCTGCGGAACCTCTACTTGTCCTCCGAAGCCCAAGTCATCGCAGGAGGGGGGAACATCGGGAACATCGGGAACGTTTCATATTGAGAGGGGCGTCCGCCAGGGCTGTCCTCTCTCACCGCTGCTCTTCAATATCTTTATCGATGACATCCTTTTCAAAGACCGCCTGGGTGGGCTGGAGGTGGGTGATTCCTCTCTTCGCCTACAAGGAGGGCACTTCGCTGACGACCTGGCGGTGGTGGCCGACACGCCTGCCCTGTTCCAGCGCAAGCTGGATACAGTAACGGCATGGTTGGACCGCTACCAGATGGCAGTCAGCCCCCCAAAATAGTGGTGTCATTTGGGTTATACCTAAGTGCTGGCTGGGGGGGCAAAGACCCCTCTTCCAGGATCTGATGGTCCAAGGAAACCCGCTACCTTGGAGCAAGGAGTACCTCTACTTGGGGCTCGTGTTTGGGGAGGAACTCGATCTGAACCGTATTCTTATGGCTAAGATCGGCGGACTCAACCACGCGACACATGCGAGCCGGGCATTCCTAGGCTCCCATGCGATACCCTTGTACCTGCGACTACTGTACTACAAAGCCACGATCCAGTCGAAAGCCCTGTATGGCATGGAGCTGTTTGGGACCTCCAAGGTCCGTATTCAGCCTCTTCAGAAGATACTCGGATGCTGTATCAAATGGATGGTGGGGACCCATGGAAGCAACCAGAATCTGGCACTTGGTCCGTTGATGCATGAATTAGGCTTGTACCCCTTACAAGCCCTGGCCGCTAGGGCCCGCTTGCAGGCTCTGGTTAAGTGGCCAACCGCCAGTACCGCGGTGAGCTCCATCTTTGAGTGGTCGCGTAGGCGGGCGGCAGACTGCACCTGGACATGCTTGTCCGGCTGCTATGACCTGCTCCGGCGGGTCTTTGGCAAAGGACATACCCTCGTCTGGACTACCGAGGCACAACGTACAATTCTCGGAGTGTGGACGGAACGCCAGGCGGAAGCTGCGGGGTTGGTGGGTCGGGGCGCGACGTCGGGGTGTGTCTTCTGTGGCCAGTTTAACCGGGGGAACGCGTTTTGGAGGCATGTCCTCCTTGAATGCCCGGCTGGTGCGGACAAACGGGGGGAGCTCGGAATGGAGACCTACCTTGGCTTGGGTCAATGGGGGAAGTGCAAGATGATCCGAGGTTAGCGGTGCGTGAGGATGTTGCAACGGCCCTTATGGGAGGGCTTTGGAGCGGGGATCAAGGTTCCACCATGTGGGTGGGTGGTCCCTCAACCGCAACCCACCTCAGGCGTGTCTCGTCCAAGGTCCGCCTTGGCGCGCAGGCATCGTTGGAGGTTTAGGCTGGAAGGGGAGTCGGGGTTATGCCCTGGGGTGCTTACACCAGGATTTGTCCTAGTTGCTAAGTACCTACAGTGGTATATGGCATCAAGTCCGCTTATGGGGGTTACGTGTTACCTCTCCCTCTGATGCCAACGCCCATCTGGGTACGGCTGTCCTCGCAACGAGGCACGCGCTTCGGTGATGGGTGGGGGTTTTAGCGGAGCACCGCTCTACCTGATGCCTCACCAGGTTTAGTCTACCCGCGGCAACACGGGCGAGGGGGGGACACCCTGCAACGCTACAACCAAAGGTGTACGAGTTATTATGACCAACCCACGTGAGTTGCGAACTCAATTCGGCACCTTTGCACGGAATGTTGAAAGGGTCCTGCAGCTGACCGGCGTGGGAATGGGGGTCGGATTTCCTCCTGGGATCATGGAAAGCCCCAACAAAAAAAAAAAAAAAAAAACAAGAGTAGGCCTTTCTGTTCTGATCTGAGGAGCACCGACGAGCCGGTGTTCAGCTTTGTCACGCACGCCCATTGCAAACCTCTCCCTAAACCTCATCGGTGTCCGTAAGTCGAGAATTCTTCGCCTCCAACTTCGGTTACAGACTTTTGGGGGTTCCGTCAAGTCGTGACCCCGTCTCGTCTGTACTGACAAAGCCGCTTCCTCCCTCCCTCAGCTCGCGCTCTCCCTACCCCGCGCCAGCCGTTGGCTTCCCCATCTTGCAGCATCCGCTACCTTCGAATCCCACCGGGCCACCGAAGCACAGGTTACTGAAGCTGTGGTGGTTGGGATGACGCGTGGGTCTCCTTGCCATCCCCTACCTCCCTCCCTCATCTTGTCCCCTACCCCGCGCCAGCCGTGGGCTTCCCCATCTTGCAGCATCCGCTGCCGCCGAACCCCACTGAGGCACAAGTCACTGAAGCTGTGATTGGAGCAGCGGGGTCCGTTTTGGATCTGGTGTCCATGGCAAGGAACGTGCTCGAGAACGTGTTCACCCCAGGTAATGCAGTTTCCTTATATTTCCAAAACCCCATGCTAGCCCGCAGTGCCCCTTTTCCTTCGTTGATAATACTTCTCTTTCTCCCGTGTTCCCTCACATACTTCAACCTTCTCCCTGTCTTCCCTCACATGCTTCAACCTTTCTCCCCGTCTTCCCTCACTTACTTCATCCTTTCTTCCGCGTCTGGTCTCGTGGCAGACCCCTTCATCGCTTTCGAGGTCGACAACACCACGTGCCTCCCTCTTCCCTTCTCGTTTCCCCCCGCCGCCCCTCCTCGCCCTCTTTGTCTCCCCGCAGACCCCTCCATCACATTTGAGGTCTATGACACCACGGACCCCAACGGCTTGGTCATGATCTACGGCCCGGGCCCCAGACTCATCCATTATAAAGTGGGGGATCCCGGGTCCATAACTTCTGCCTCCCCCGCTAACGCCACGCGCCTGTGGGAGGAGCGGGCAGTCGTGCCTCTGGACCTGCTTGGCGGTCGCCTGCGCAAGTACGAGGTCTGGTGCCGGTGAGTGGGACAAGTGGGGTGTGGTGCCGGTGAGTGGGGTCTGGTGCCGGTGAGTGGGACAAGTGGGGTGTGGTGCCGGTGAGTGGGGTCTGGTGCCGGTGAGTGGGGTCTGGTGCCGGTGAGTGGGGTCTGGTGCCGGTGAGTGGGACAAGTGCTGGTGAATCTCAGTTCATGCTATCGTGCTATTGCCAGTGAGTGGGGTACGGTCACACGGGGTTATCTTGCTGAAACATGAGTTGACATTAGACCTGAAAACGAGTAGACTGTATTCGAATTTGTATTCGAATTCGGACGAATATCAAATACAAATCGAGTCTATGTGGCTGTTCAAACTCGCCAAAACTCGACTTCCGATATTCGACTCGAATTCGTATTCGCCCAGCCATAACTCGAGTACTCGTTTTAGTACTCGAGTTTGGACATACCTGGCTCCTACAAGCATTTCATTGCCTTGCATCAAAGGTCCTAATGCTTTTGTTGCTACACGATGATGCTAAAACGCTTCACTTGCCACTTGTACAACCCCTCCAATTTCTTGTGCAAACCTGCAAGCACGGCAACACCCAAAAAACTGACGACGAACTCCAAGGGTAACTTCACAAAGCTTGTAAACGCTCGTATGCCCAAAACTCGAGTGCATTCGTATTCGATTCGGACTCGACTCTATTCGACTCGTATTCGTATTCGAATTCCAAGCACAACTCGAACAAATAATTTGTATCGTGATATTCGACAACTATTCGAATGTGGAACTCGAACTCGAATTCGTATTCGGTTCTTCAGGTCTAGTTGACATTGCAATGAGTGTGGTGGCTCTGGGACCGAGCCTTGCTCTCTTGTGCTTCTTGTCGTGTCCTTTAGTGCTAACATGTTTTGAGGCGTCTCAAAACTCCTGCTTTAGTGCTAGCATGTATTGAGACGTCTCAAGGCTCATGCTTAGTGCCAACTTGTTTTGATACGCCTCAAAACTTATGCTCAGTGCTAACATGGGCTCCGTTGCTTGACAACAGCAAGCAGGAATCCTGGAATTGTGCCTATCGTTTGCCCCTCTCCCACGCTTGGTGTCCGCCCGGCCAGATACAATCAACCATCCAACACGTGGCTCTCCTGGGGCATGCCCGTCCTCTGGATGCTCCTATCGCTGGTGGTAACCACCCTCATAGCTGGCGTAGCATGGCAGCAGCGCGTGGTGTACTTTGCAAGCCAGGAGGGTATAGCAGTGGCGGATCTCCTTCGAGCTCAGGCTCACACAGCAGAGCAGTCGAAGAGTTCGTTTGTGGCGTCGATGTCGCACGAGCTGCGCACGCCCATGGTGGGCATCATGGGGCTGCTGGACGCCCTGACTGACATGGGGCTCTCCGCCCCCCAGGTGGAGGACGTGAGAGCAGCGCGTGCATCAGCGTACGACACCGTGCACCTCGTCAACCGCGTGCTCGACCTCTCCAAGCTCGAGGCCAGGAAGATGGGCCTCAGCTGCGTGCAGTTTGAGCCGAGGGCATGGCTGGAGAGCATTGTTGTTGACAACTTTCAGGCTGCTGGAAAAAAAGGGGTACAACGTGAGTGTGTTCTCAGGTCAGGTTAGCCCCATGTTGCTGGGAATGGTATGACTGAAAGAAGTGTGTTGAACTCAGAAGAACAAAGGGTTCGCAAGTGGTAGAGAAGAGGAGTCAACCAGAGGCAGATGTTGGTGGCAAACTCTTTTAGAGTTAAATCATTTGGGGGCAAATAGTGTGGCCTGGTATTGTATGCACTGATTTTATGGAAGGTACGGATAAAGTTTCGAGTCTATGGTAAGTACCAAACCAGGTTGATACGTACAAAACCTAGATTAAGCAGTAAGCCTATAGTAAGTACCAAACATGACTCAGTATCGGGTATATGATAAGTACCATACTTGGCTCAAAACCGAAGGACCAAACGTATGTTAAGTAGCGATTCTAGGAAATGTTTCACCCTAGCTAAAGTACCGAGTTCATGACGCATACAAATTTGTCTATGGTATATACCAAACTTGGTTCAATACCACATCTAGGCTAGGCGTACTATTGATTCTATGGAAAGTACCAAGCTGCTCCATATTGCGCATGATTTGTCACTGCTCCTAGCATTGCTTTTACTAAATTTACACTTTCCTCCCCAAACCATGGCAGTGGTGGGCATGGTGGATGTGAACGTGCCTGTGGTGTTGGAGATGGACACCATGAGACTCACACAGGCGCTCAGAGAGCTCATAGGTGGGCTTCCTCTATCCTCTATCCTTGCTTTCAAAGGGCTCATAGGTGGGACTTGCTTTCAAAGGGCTCATAGGTGGGACTTGCTTTCAAAGGGCTCATAGGTGGGACTGGCTTTCAAAGGGCTCATCGGTGGGACTTGCTTTCAAAGGGCTCATAGGTGGGACTTGCTTTCAAAGGGTTCATAAGTGAGGCTTGAGACTCACACAGGCGCTCATAGGTGAGACAAGCAATGTGCGGGTTTTCGCTTTTTCCATCCTAGCTATTCTTGAGCACGAATGCTAACAATTGTTGCATGCTCATTACCTGGCTTTGGTGGCTTCTCTGGCACTCCAGATATTCTTGTCATTCTTTGCAATTGTTGCCCTTCCAATTCCTTACCACTCCAGACAATGCAGTTCGCTACACAGCAACCGGCCACGTGTTGGTGCGCGTGTCTGTCTTCCCCGCTGCCACCACCCTTGAGGGCGCCCTCAACCAACTCAGTAAGTACTGCCTACAAGGGAAGCTTGACTACCCTAAGCCTAGGTCATAGGTTCCTATGCTCTTAGGGCCTGCCTGCCGTTCGTGCATTCTAGCTCGAGCGCTCCTCCACCATTGTCGCCCTTTGTTGATGATCAACCATCCTGAGCTCGAGAGTTCGTACCATCTTCCTAGCATCATGTGCTCCACGACTGCTCTTATTCTCCACTTCCCCTCGCCATGTCCAACGTTTCCCACCATTCACCCCAATATTCCAGTCAGCTAATATATGCGCGTTTTCCCTTCATCCACTTCCGCCCTTCCCCCCTCCTTGCACCCGTTCCCCCCTCCTTGCACCCGTTCCCCCCTCCTTGCACCCCTTCCCCCCTCCTTGCACCCCTTCCCCCCTCCTTGCACCCCTTCCCCCCTCCTTGCACCCCTTCCTCCCTCCTTGCACCCCTTCCCCCTTGTGTCTCTGTTGGCGCTCCTCCAGAAGCATTAGAGACCCCACTACAAGCCTCCTCTCCTCCTCCTCCTGGCGGCTCTTGCTCCTCCCACTTGGCCAACCCGCTCATGCTTCTGCGGCTGCTAGGAAGGGCTGCATGCGGGGCTTCTCACGCAGAACCACCAGCAATGGAGAATGCAGAAAGCGAGGAGCAGGCAGCGGCAGCAGGAGCAGGAGCAGTGATGGTGGAGGGTAGGAGAGGCGTTAGGGGAGGTGGGCGTTTGAAGGCGGGCGGGGGAGGGGTTGGTGGTGATGGCGATCGGGGTGGTAGTGGATGGAGCGAGGGCAAGGGAGGCATGCAGCTGGTGGTGTCGTGTGAGGACACGGGGTGCGGCATCGATGATTTGACGCTGGAAGGGCTGTTCGAGCTCAAGGTGAGAAAACCCACCAGTGCTTGATTATACATGTATCATGTATGATGTGGATTCATATGTTTTCCCCGTGTAGTTTTGTGACAGCCATCAGGTTCTTGCATGAGCCAGCTTTTGAGGCGCCTCAAAATGAGTCATTCTGCTTATGCAGTGCTGATACCTTGAGGGTTTAGGCTTCAGTGTTTAGATTTTTAGTTACTTTGCCTGATCCCTGGAATGGTGCAATCTATCTGTGGCACCTTGATTGTCCCACAGACAGGTGAACCTGAAGACCTCACTTTTGGTGTTCTGCCTTATTGTGTGATTGCAGGGAAGACTGGAAAGTGGAGGAGCAGGGCTGGGTCTTGTGTTGACACTGCAGCTGGTAAGGGTTTTTTTTTTTTTTTTTTTTTTTTTTTGTCGACTAAAAAATCACCTTTGGTGCATTGCCTTGTTGGGTGATTGCAGGGAAGATTGGAAAGTGGAGGAGCAGGGCTGGGTCTTGTGCTGACGCAGCGGCTGGTAAGGGAATATGCATCTTAGAAGGGTGTATGCATGTTTTGGTATTTAACTCTGTTCAGGCTGCCGCATCACTTCCCTTTAGCCTTCCCTCTGCACTCTCTCCCTCCATCTACCCTCCCCCCCAAGGCGTCCCTCATGGGTGGTCGTGCCTCCTCCTTGTTCATTGCCCTCCTTCCTCCCTCTGTCCGCCCTCTTCCCCCCCCCCCTCTCCAGGCGTCCCTCATGGGTGGTCGTGTCGCCTGCTTGTCTCATCCCGGCATCGGCTCCACCTTCGCCTTCTCCGTCCCCTTGGCTGCGCTCCCCTCCTCGCCCCACATTCCTGTGACGATTGCTGCTCGCACTCCTACCGCTCCGCCTCCCACTCCTCACACTGGCGGCATGGAGGGAGTAGCTGTTGGCGTGGTGGGGTCTGATGCACGCAGGAGGGAGGTGAGTGGAGGGGAGTGTGGGGGGATGGGGGGGTTGAAGGGGGGGAAGGTGAAGGTGTGGAGCAATAATACCATGTTGCTTTGAGAGAGGGCTTGGTGGCATCATCTGGTGATCGGAAGAGGGCCTGATACCATGCCTCTCCAAGGAGCAGACTTCTGTTTCTCGCCATTAATTCCTCCATCAGGGGTGTCTTTTATGCAATTGTGTGGGCAGTACCCCGCCCGCATGCACCTCGCGCCTCGTTTTGATACACTTTACGCCAGCTCTGCCCTTTTGCATTTCGGATCTCTCCCTCAACCCTCCCAACCCAACCCCCCCGCCATTCCACCCTTTTTTTTCCCCTTCCCTTGCTCCCTTCATCAGCTCACGGGTCGCATGTTATCAGGTCTCGGAGCACAGGTGCACCTGCTGGCAATGCCAGCAACAGTAGAGTCAAGAGTCACAGAAAGGCCGCTGGGAGAAGCAGGGAGGAGCAGCCACGGCGAGATTGAGGAGAGAAGAGACGGGGACTCTGCTGGCTCGATGACTGGCTTGTATGGTGCGAGAAGAGCCAGAGCGGCAGAAAGCGAGGGAGGGGGAGAGGGAGAGGTAGGAGAGAGGGGGGTTTTGAGAGAGGGTGTGCGATGGGTGGTGGTGGTGGGGGAGGAGGATGTGTGGTTGCAGCAGAGTGAGGAAGAGAGTGTGAGTGGCATGGCTGGTCAGCAGTGTGGCGGGAATGGGTGGTGGGGGGAGCATGGGGGAGGGAGAGGGGCGGTGGGGGAGGAGCACAGCAGTAGAATGCCTGGGGTGGCTGTGGTGCCGGCAGGGGCAGCGGCATGCGCGGCAGCCGTGCGGGTCGTGAGGCGAGTGGAAGGGATGGCATGCAGTGGACAGGTGGTGGGGGCTGTCATTCTAGCGGGCTGCTGGAGTGGCGAGGAGATGGGGGGAGAGGAGGGAATGGGAGACGAAGAGGAGGAGGAGAGGGAGAGGAGTGCACACGGGGGGCAAGAGAGGCATCAGGTTCAGATGGCCGCTTGCCCTGCCTCTGCCATCTCTCCCAGTGTGGTCATCTGTCACCGCCCGCTGCTCTCTCACCATCTGCGCCACGCCGTCCAGGTGAGCCTCTGTTGCCATCAGGTGAGCCTTCAGCTCTCTAGAACTCTTCTCTGCTACCCTTCTCTTACGTCATTGTGCTTCTGCACGCATTTATCACTACCCTTCCCATGACCCACCCATGCCCATCCCATGCCCCTCCCATGCCCCTCCCATGCCCCTCCCATGCCCCTCCCACGACCCTCCCATGCCCCTCCCATGCCCCTCCCATGCCCCTCCCATGACCCTCCCATACCCCTCCCATGCCCCTCCCATGCCCCTCCCATGCCCCTCCCATGCCCCTCCCACGACCCTCCCATGCCCCTCCCATGCCCCTCCCATGCCCATCCCATGCCCCTCCCATGCCCCTCCCATGACCCTCCCATACCCCTCCCATGCCCCTCCCATGACCCTCCCATGCCCCTCCCATGCCCCTCCCATGCCCCTTCTATGACCCTCCCATGCCCCTCCCATGACCCTCTTATGCCCCTCCCATGCCCATCCCATGCTCCTCCCATGCCCCTTCTATGACCCTCCCATGCCCCTCCCATGACCCTCTTATGCCCCTCCCATGCCCATCCCATGCCCCTCCCATGCCCCTCCCATGACCCTCCCATGCCCCTCACATGCCCCTCCCATGCCCCTCCCATGCCCCTCCCATGCCCCTCCCATGCCCCTCCCATGCCCCTCCCATGCCCCTCCCATGCCCCTCCCATGCCCCTCCCATGCCCCTCCCATGCCCCTCCCATGCCCATCCCATGACCCTCCCATGCACCTCCCATGCCCCTCCCATGACCCTCCCATGCCCCTCACATGCCCCTCCCATGCCCCTCCCATGCCCCTCCCATGCCCCTCCCATGCCCCTCCCATGACCCTCCCATGCCCCTCCCATGCCCCTCCCATGCCCCTCCCATGCCCCTCCCATGACCCTCCCATCCCCCTCGCATGCCCCTCCCATGCCTTTTCCATGCCCTTCCCATGCCCTTTCCCCCACCCGACTCTGCTCATTCCAGTTGGCAGCATTTGGGCTTGAAGCCAGCAGCCCATCCCATGGCAGCAGAGCCTGTGAGAGGCATGGCAGCATCGCGCCTTGCGCTGTACGAGAGGGGAGCAGGGAGCAGGGGAGCAGAGAGTTGGGTTCAGAAGAGCAGGACTGGTTAGCATGCTTCATGGATGGGCAGGGTGACACTGAGGACTACAAAGAGATTTGTAGGGCAGAGGATGGTGCACGCGATGGGGGGACGAGCATGCCCATGCAAGGCGATGACGGCATGCGGTCGGCACCCTTAGATGCCCCCCGCGGTTGCAGAAGCAGCAGTTTGGGAGACGTCGAGGGGGCCGGCAATGTTGGCGCTGAGAGCCATGTGGCCTTTAATGTTGACAATGTTGGCGCTGTTTGCGCTGAGAGCCAGGGGGATATCAGAACCTGGGCTGCTGGCAGTAGAAGCAGGAGCCTCACAGGAGGCACGTTGTCTTACAGTGCAAGCATGGAGAGAGAGAGGGGAGCAGCAAGGATGGGGAGTGTTGAAGAAGCCGCAGAAGCATTGGCGGGAGTAAGAGGAGTAGGAGGAGCAGGAGGAGGAGGCGGTGTGAGGCGAGGAAGCATGTATGTGACAGGCAGATGTAGCCTGGAACTTTCATCCTCCTCCTCAGCAGAAGCAGCAGCAGCGGCAGCGGCAGCGGTGGCGGCAGGGACGGCAGCAGCAGGAGCAGGAGGAGCACGTAGAGGGGTTCGTGGGCGGTCAATCACAACGACTGCAGCCCTAACAGGCAGGGACTCCCTGTCAGCCCGGGAGGTCACCGCGGTGCTGCAGGGACTTGGCGTGCTGGTGGTGGACGACACGGGCGTAAACCTGGTGGTGGCCCGCCACACTCTGAGTCGATGCGGCGCCGCTGTGGCCACTGCAGGCAGCGGGGAGGACGCTGTGAGGCGCGTGAAGGAGGCCATGGGGGCTGGGGTAGGCGAGGATGCCGGGGGAGATGAGGAGAAGGCGGCAGTTGATGTGGTGCTGATGGACCTGCAGATGCCAGGCATGGATGGGTGAGACATGGGCATGGATGGGTGAGACATGGGCATGGATGGGTGGGACATGGGCATGGATGGGTGATTGATGGGCATGGATGGATCACCCGTTGTTGCTCACCACTCCCATGGTTTCAGGCTTCCACTCGGTCGACCATTCTCCCTCACACTTTTGGTGCCTCTTGTTAGAGCTAGATTGCTGTGCCACATGTGTATTGTACATCTCGATCCGAGGTTGAACTAGGTATGTTTTCGTGGACTGGGTGTTACACACAGATTCCAAACCAATCAATTGGAGATTTTGTTGATCCCGTTATGGATTTGATCCAATTCCCATTTCATTCCCTACCAACCCAGGTTCATGGCAACAGAGGCCATACGAGCACATGAGCAAGCCACAGCCGGTCAGCTTGCGAGATCGTCGGAAGGGGGAGCGGAAGCAGCGATTGAAGATGCAGCCACCTCTGTCGCTGCCCCTCTAGTCCCCGCAGTCCCCCGGGTACCCATAGTGGCGCTGACAGCGGATGTTGATGAGGAGATTACTCGGCGCTGCCTTGCGAATGGCTTTGATGGCATTCTGCAGAAGCCAGTCGACCCCAAGCTGCTCTCGGACCTGCTGCTGCACATTGAGAAGCCACGCAGATTGGGGTCTCTATGAAGCCTTTCGGATCCAACGGTTCACATTCAACTCTTGAGTGATCTGCTCTTGAGTGGATGGTGCATAGAGAATTGAGTCCTTCATGGGTGAGTACGGTAGTATGTGCTTGATAAGGGCGCATGAGGGGGGTGGGCGGTCGCTACCCCGTACAGATTTCCTTGCTACAAGTATAGCCCGTACGGATTCGAAGAAAAGGTACTCGTTAGGCTAAGGAATACTGTGAAATTGTTTCTGTAAGTTGGACGGACTCGGAAAAAAAATCGCACTGTAAAAAAACGGAATCACTTGAAAAGTTATCCTTCATTTCTCGACATTAAGGGTAGTTACCCTGTTATCAAGAGGCCTGCTTGAAAGGGTGCTCCAAGAGTTTTGTTTGTTAGCGCTTGTTGGAAATATCTCAAAGGACTTAAACGTTTCTGAAGTGTAACACTACACTCGAGGAAGATCGCAACGGGTACGCGAGTCAACGGAGGTTACACGAGGGGCCGGACAAAGAACGCGAAGGGACTCGAAAGGTCGCAACTGGAAGTTGCGACTGACCGTTACAACATCGCGGATGGTAACCGAAGCGACAATCGAGTCGCTGTGCGACTCGATAACCGCTCCTTCAACTGTATTCTACAACTGCTTTCTTATTTTCTATATATTGCTGTATGCTTGTTTCTTTAATCAATCACTTGTTCTCATATACTAGTACAAGGGTTCAACTGCCTCAAACTTCCGCTGCACTACTCAAGTCTCATTCCACAACTGGGACTTAGTCTTTGGAAATATCCTAAGGGCTTTTCTCAGCCCAACATGGTATGAGAGCTGGTCAGAGACCAAACTCCGAGCAACGACACTTTATCTACAATCTGCAATTCAACGACTTCATTAATTACAAGCCATGGACAGCAAGGGCAAGAAGACCTCTACGGGCTCACCCAGCACCCAAGACATTCAACCCGGCAACTCTGGATTGCATACTTCAGGGCTACAAACCGAGACCGGCGCTGCTCAAGAAACAACAGGAAGAGCACCAGAAATGGTGACCCCATCACCCTCTTCAAGCGTGGATCCGAACCTTATGGAAAGGTTCTTCAGCTTCATGTCGCACTTCGACCAGCAGCAGCAGACAAGGACACCTGCGCATTCAACACAGAGCAACGGAGGAAACATGGGATTAGCGCCGATGAGCCTCGACAATTCATCGTTCGAGCGACACAATCAAGCGCCTACCTTTGCGCCTTATCACTCTTCACCGGGGACGTTCGAGTTCATGCCGCCCCGTGCCCAACCAACAGCAGCTGCATCACAACAAACACCAAACAAGATTTTAAGTCTTCAGGCGCAGTTTCCACACGTGATTAAACTGCAGACATCATCACCATTCAACGGACACGATTTCTTTACCTCGAGTTTTGAGTTCGAGCTGCTGATGGAGGCTGCGCATCTCCTGGGATACTTCAATGGGTCCCTGCCATTCCCAAGCAACGGCACTGCAAAGGAGCAAGAAATATTTACTTATCAGTCACTGCTGGCGTACACAGTTCTCCTGCGGAACCTGTCTCCGCAAGAACAGCAGAGCATCAGAACATATCGGAGCTATGGAAACTCCGCGGAACTCGCATGGCATCATCTCAAGTGTCTCTATCAAGCAAACGACAGCGTGACACAAAGCAGACTCATGCAACAACTGACAACAATACAGATGAAGACAGGGCAAAAGGCGATGCAGTATATGAGTCGCTGCCAGACCCTCCGCGACCGCCTGCTTCGGTGCGGAGGAACAATCACTGAGGAAAGCTTCGTGACGCTTGTCCTCGCCGGGCTCGAACCAGAATGGAGAACCACACGCTCGCTTCTTCGCGCCCACGGAAGAATTTCAGAGATGCACCTCTGCGCCGAGCTTCACGCTGAACAACAGGAGATGGACCTGTTCGAAGAACGACAACCAAGGAAGCAGCAGCAGTTAGTTTTCTACACTCAACGAAGGAACGACAACAACCACAATCGACGCGGCAAGCAAGATCAACGCGACAACAGAGGACTCACCTTCGTGCCGCCGTTCTGCCACAACTGTCAGACTTCTGGACATTCCAAAGTCAACTGCACACGTCCTCGTGTTTATCGTCCAGTAGACCCACACGTCGCCTCCACTCAAGAAAGCCCTCCAAGGCGCTCTTCCACATCTGCACTAGGGACACCGAACATCATTAACTGCATGGTACACATCGACAACTGCGCACCTGGATCACCACCCACTTACGCACCAGACAAAGAAGAACTTCCGCCGCCGCGCTCACAAGGACTTCAAGTCAACCCGACATACGCTGCGGTCGCCAACGCCGAACCCACCGGGCGAAACACCTGGTTCTTGGACAGCTGCTGCGGTCAACACATGTGTTCTTCCGGACGCTTTGTGCAACGAGAGCGACGCCTCATCCGCGACGTCATCATCACCGTCGCCAACAACGAAAACCTGAAGACAAACAGACAAGGAGTGGTTCAGTTACAATCCATGGAGACAAACGTTATACTTCAACTCAACAAGGTCCTCATCGTCGACAACTTAGGATACAACTTACTAAGCGTCAGCCAGCTAATGGCAAAAGGGATTCACCTGGAGTGCGACTCCTACTCCAACAAGTTTTGCCTTTACCACGGGAAGGGCGGTCTCTTCATCGGCCGTGCTCTCCTGAAGTCCGGCGTCTTCGTGTTGGACTTCGTCCCCGACCGCGGTACTGCCGATAGCGACGGAATCGTGTCGTCCGCCGCCTGGACACACCCGCCGGATCTTGACCCCGACTTCGACCCTGATGGTTTCTGGCACTCCAACACCATACCTGCAGCAGAAAGAACACGAGCATTAGCAGTCATCAGACAAGAAAGACAAGTACTAGCAAGTGTCCCTTCCCAACCATCACCTGCAGTAGCAGCAGCAGGACCCAGCCGAGTACCACCACCAGCGATCCGAGGACCGCCAACCGAAGCAGATCAACTTATGCCCATCACACGAGAAGTCTGTCGAAGTCCCGCCACGGTCGTCGCGTTCTTCTCCAACACCGACATATACCACCGCTCGCCCGGTCATCGCGCTCCCGACGACATCTGGCACCAACGACTCGGACACCCTGCAAACAGTACAATACTGCAAACCATCCAAGCCGAAGTGTTAGAACGCAACGCCCTCCTAAAGACGAGCGGCCAAGAACTTCGACGACCACGCGCACAGTGCTTTACGTGCCCCGAAGCCGATCTTCCCCACCGGTCTTTCCCATCTCATCACAACCCAAGCGCACCTGCATACGCACCGATGGAAAAAGTCTACAGCGACATTTTAAACATGCCTCGAGAAGACACGGAGGCCGACTTCAACTACGTCATCACCTTTATCGATGCAGCAACAAGATATGTTTGGCGCTACAACCTCAAGACGCGCGATCAAGCCTTCGACGCCTTCACGACATGGCTTCCCATCGCCGAACGAGAATCAGGAACCAAGCTCAAGAGCTTCCAGTCAGACGGTGCACTGGAATACCAGTTACAACGCTTCAGGACCTATCTGGCGGAAAGAGGAATCAGACGCCTGGTGTCTCTACCCTACGCTCACCAGCAACAGGGGGTCGCAGAAAGAATGAACCGGACTTTGCAGACGACAATGGGGAAGCTGCTCCTGGGGATGAGACTGCCCAACGCACTGTGGCCAGACGCGATGACCCATGCAGTCCACCTGCACAATTTGCTATCCTCGTCATCGCTCCCCAACAACGCATCACCGCACCTGCTGTGGACACGAAAAAGGGGCAGCACAAAATTACTTCAAGTTTTCGGCTGCATGGTACAGTACAGACCCCACACAGCCCGAGCAGGACGCTTCACTCAACGAGCTCGGTGGGGACTACACCTCGACATCGCAAAACATTTTCACGCATGGAAAATCCTCGACATACAAGACAAAAATACAGTGGCATCACGTGATGTTATCTTCTATGAGCGACTGACGCTGCAGCATTACCTGGACAACATTGCCAACACACACGACCCCACCGACGGCTTCGCGGGCCTTCGTTCCTTCGCCGACCGTGCTGCCAAGGCTGACGCAGCAGAAGAAGACGTATTTGGAGCCTCGGAAGCTGCCGGACCACTCCCTTTCTGTTCCGTACCTGTTCCACTCGACGAAGACAATCCTCTCGATAGTAACAACCTCGACACCTTTTACCACTTCGCTGACCAAGGTTACACTACACCCCACCCGGTCGACACGAATGTTTCATAACGCATCGGCCCCAACTTCTTACCTGATCCAGAAGACGGTGACGAAGCAGCCTATTCCGGGAATGAAAATTCCCCTCGACACACACCCACGGGACTGCAGATCCTCGGCCTATGGGTCTCCGTCAAGCATCCACCGCCGCCATCTCCGCGCGAGCCCTCAACTCTGTCGCAGGCTCTGGGGGGGGAACATAAGACGAAATGGAAGGAGGCGATGGAAAGGGAACTAAAGGCTCTACAAGACCGAAATACATGGAAGCTGGTACCTGCAACAAGCATCAACGGGAAGAACGTCCTCTCGGGAAAATGGGTGTACCGCATCAAGACCAACGCGGACGGCTCCATCGAACGATTCAAAGCTCGATGGGTCGTACGAGGCTTCGATCAACGATACGGAACTGACTACACAGAAACTTTTGCCCCAGTCTCCCGTCACACCTCCCTGCGCATCCTACTCGCCGTCGCGGCCACGAAGAAACTACCACTGCATCAAATCGACGTCGCAAACGCTTTCCTGTACGCACCTGTGGACGCTGAGATCTTCGTCGAGCAGCCCCACGGATTCATCGACGACCCTACGAAAGTATGCCAGCTGATAAAATCCCTCTACAAGATCAAACAAGCTCCGCGGCTGTGGCAGCAGCATCTTCACGGCCGCCTCGTCAGAATCGGCTTCCTACAGCTGCCGCACGACCAGGGCATGTATCGACTTCAGAAGGAAAAAGCCTTTATCCTTCTCATCGTCTACGTCGACGACCTGCTCTACATCGGCTCCTCTACCGACATCGCCATCTGGTTCGAAGGGGAGCTGAGAAGTGACCTGACACTCACAGTGTCAGACACAGTGACCCAGTACCTGGGACTGAATGTCGTCGAAGACAACTCGGCATTTTACCTACACGCTGGAAAGTACGCAGGCACTGTCGCGAAGAAATTCGGTCTAACGCCGACTACGGTCCCGACTCCCTACCGCTACGGGAACAACAACAGCACCTCCGCAAAACTCCCCGCGAAGCAAATCCAGGAGTATCAACA